AATTTGGTCAGTGCAGATCAACGGTCAGTTTGTTACCATTAAATTTCGTTTACGCTTGGTTTTAAGAACTTTTGAGGTATCCAACAGATCTTCTGTCGATTAATTATGTAGTCATACTTGCTCATTAATCCGGTTTAACTAACGTAGTTCTAAGATTCCAAGTGCTGATTATTTAGTTTAAGATGGAACTGCAAAAAGAACAGTTAGCTTATTGTTTTATAATTTCATGATTCTGTCGGAATTTTCTCTGTAGCCTGAAAGACTTAACATTCGTTCAATTACGAGTTGGAAACAAATATGACAGTTTCATCGCACCTTGAAAGTATGCTAGTTCTGAAAATACCTGAAGGACGTAAATCAATAGCACAGTTTTGGTCACAGTACGACCTTTAGCAAACTATGACAGCGACGGCAACGAGAACGCGACAAAACAAAATATTTTACGAGAAGAGAAAAAGCTCTGCGCGTGCGTTAAACAATTTGTACATCTCAGCGCCCTTGGCAAAATATCAACATACACAGTCACCCAAATTTGCGTGGTGAGAGAACAGGAAAACCGACCACGAGTTGTTTATGTTTCTGTTTAAACTCAATAGGGTGAAGAGTGCGACAAACTAACAGGGACTCCACATCTGTCACGGCTACAACTACTATCGCGTGGATCCTACAACCTTACAACATTCGCGTAGCTCACAAGCCTATTACTACTTTACGACATTTACTGACCAACGTTAAAGACAAAGACGAACCCAACAACAGACAGGGAGCGATTTATAAGATCAAATGCTCTGACTGCCAGGCCTCCTACATCGGTGAGACTGGTAGAATCCTTAACACGCGACTAACTGAACACAAACGAGCAACTAGAAATGGCGATGTAAACAATCATATTTCTGAACATCACCGACAAACTAATCACAGAATCGACTGGAACTCTGCTAAATGCTTAACCTACAGTACAAACTATTCTCAACGACTGACTCTGGAAAGCTGGTTTACTAACTTAGAACGGACGCCTCTCAACAGATGTCAACAACTACCGGCACCAACAAACCGACTAACAGACCGACAAACAACAGACGGATCGAAACCGACCAATGACTGTGAACAAACTCTACACGAGTCTTCCAGCCAATCACATCACGGCTAAACAGACCAATCACGTTCAACAGACCAGACTTTATAACATCATCGACTGACAACTACTCTTCACTTGACTGTGAAGATGACTTCCGCACAGGTTGTCGAAACGTCAGTCACCAACAACAGTTCTTTTCAGAACTACACTCACCCGGACGATCACACTATATGAACTACTGATACTCCTGGGTTCAAACCATTTACTTTACTTACACTAATTAACAAATCAAAGACTACTTGTCTAATTATCGTTCCGTCCGCTTAGAAGGGTGTCTTAGAAATAAAACAGGCAGCAGGCCTCATCCTCAAGGCCCCTACTTTATATGAAAATAAAATATGACTGCATGCATAACCAGGTATACTTCTTTGAATGAAATTTATCTATAGTTTGAACCGTAAGCATGATGAACCGTAAGCATGAAGAAGCCTCAGTTCATTTTTAAGTTTAGGAGACCATTTAAAGGCGAGTTGGGAGATGAGTTGACCGGAGAGGAAAAAACAATTTGGAGTTATCGCCCGTTTTCGGTTACGTCTTAACCCCTGCACTAATCAAATGAAGAGATTTATACGCTTTGATAGCTTCATAAATCAGATCAGTTTACAGCTCTGATTGAAGAAGCGATCAATCAGAGCCGTGTTCGTCGAGTTGCGATGCATTTACAAGCACTCTTCAACGTATTTTCATCCTCTCAGTTAGCTCTACATAGCCAGGTTCAGTGAAAACAAGGTAAGGAAAGAATATTCAAGGTTTAACTGTGAAGGTGACATTACTCTGAGGTTTCCGACAGGTTTTACCAGGTCAGTTTGGAAACAAAAATGGTTAGAGCGCCTACGCTCGACTCGGCGAATTTCGATCGCAATCATAATTTGTATTTGCTTGACTTCTCTCTAGGGTTGATGATAGAAATTTATTCAAAAGACGTTTCAGTGAGCCAACTAAGCACATTCATATCGATTGTAGAGGAATTTCAAAGTTATAAGACATGGCAATATTTGTTGACGCATCAAGGATTATTATTTCCGCTTTCGCTTAGAATCCGTGGAAATTACACTTAAATGTTAAATACCCCTACAGGGTTAGGTCTTTGGGCGATTTCTGTGTCACTATGTAGCTGCTTTTCATTCGAAATGAGGCAAATATCTGGCAGTTTGAGGAATGATCATTTAAGTGTAAGTAACATGTCGAAAAAAAGCCGCCGGTGTTGTCGTGTCTGAACTTGTCCAAACTTCGTGAATAGTTAACATTCAATTTGGTCAACAGTCACTTCGTTAATTACCATTAAATTTCATTTACGCTTGCTTTAAGAACTTTTGAGGTATTCCAACAGATCTTCCGTCGATTAATTATGGAGTTCCGTCTCAACTAAATAATCAGCACTTGGAATCCTAGAACTACGTTAGTTAAACCGCATTAATGAGTAAGTATGTCTGCGCGGATGAGACCGCGGAAAACGGATCTTGAGTCATTTGCATGTTTGATTTTCCATTCTATTGATTCGAGGCGTTGTTTCCCTTGCCGCATTCCTTTTACAGAACAACCCCCAAATAGGAAAATGTCTCGGACGACAACAAAATACCTCGGTTTTAAATGCCAGCTCCTTTTTTCCCCGCAAATTTTGCGTGTGCTTGAGTCCGCGTTATTGACCGCATACCTGTGGCGTAGCTCTTCGTTATTCATCACTGCCTCTGCCGACTTCGATAATGAACGCCTTGTCTCGCAAACATCGCACGGATGGTGTTTAAAGGGGTGTTGTTCAGGACCGTTCAGGTACACTTAACTCCAGTTGAATAGTCTGTTTGTCTTATTGATACTTTAGTGACTTGGAATGTTAACCACAACCAACACTAAAACGATTTACAGCTACAGTAGCGAGGATACGAATCTTTCGACATCATTCCAAGGCACCAAGATATCTTACATGATTCGACTGGCTGATCAATTCATATAACAACATTTCTTTTTCAATCATGATGATAATGATGCAAAAATTGTATTTGTTTTAAAGGTTCCCGAAGATTACCGTGTGAAGTAATTTCCAGCTTACAAAATTTTTATTGTGAAGTTTTGTAGTCCCGACTTGAAAATGACGCAGTGTTTTTCTTACGAAGTTTATTCCCCAAGATGTTTCTATGTCGGATTTAGTTACCATTACATGGAACTGATAATTTTTCTAGTGTGTGTTCGCTTTCAATACGGAGCCCACAAACATTGTGTGGAAAACAACCAAGACAAATTTCCTAGTCTATGAGATGCTTAAGGTAGGTAACTTAGTTCAAGCTGGAGAATTTTGTAAGATCGTGCTTTGGATCACGATTCGTGACAAAATAGATGGCATCAACTGTCAGATGTCTGACATTAGGTCACTGTTGAGGAGGGAAAAAACCCCAATTCTAACAATGAAATAAAACAACATAACGCAATAAGGCAAATGTGAAGGTTTTGGCTCTCTATTTGTAATTTTGGCATCGTCGAAAAACATCAGACTCGCTTTACAAGCACGCGTGAATTCGCCAGATTGGAAACATGAGATTTCGTAACTAAACCAAAACCTAGACTGCAAAACTTCGACTATCAAGTTTCGGAACTTTGTTTGTCGAAGTCACTTAAATTTCACAAATCGTCCCTTAACTAGCGCTCGAATTTCATCGCGGAACATCCTAATTCATAATATTATTTTCACTAACACTCACTGCTAGCTGTTAGAACGTACGTTATAATGTTGGGTAATTTACAACGATAAATGTTTGGGGAAAAAAAGTCCCCTTGCTAACGCGTGAATCCGTGCGGAACACAAAGACAATTACACAAACGAGGTCTTTGCTCTTAGAAATATCTCACCCTATTGTCGAATTAAGTTGCTTGAATTAAATTCTTACGCAAAAACTGTGACAGAAGAACCAACCCCAATTTAACATAAGCGTAAACATGACGTTTTCTAAGACCGGAAACTTAAAAACTTTTCAAGTGACGTTGTGTTATTGAAGACTTTAATTCCAAAGTACTCTATTCAGAGGTCAAACATCAAGTTCGCAAAATTCGCTTCGCATATTTACTGTAGATAAGATCTCTGTTAAACAGCCACCTCTAATTGGTGAACGGGATAAACCTTAAGTCTTACTAAATTTATCAGGACCTGAATATTAGGTTTCATCATGTGTGATCCACCACCATCAAACAATTACACCCACTTTTGAAATAGTACCCGAGAAAACGGAATGTTCTGGGAATAAACGTATTTATTCTATTGTGGTTACTTAAACTCTCGCCGATGACAAGCAGACATAGTGTTTGTTTCAAGGAGAAGCGAAACTCTAGTTTACAGACCATCTTTGCCTATTCGTATAGTTTATTTCATTTTGGGAAGACGATATAACTCGTGTTACTAAGATAACTGTCGAATCCAATTTTCAAAAAGTGTCAAGCTGATTTGCGTAATGCCTTTTTTAACACTTTTACGAAAATCAATCACTATTTTTCCAGTAATTGTTTTCATTAGAGCTGAAAAGCCATAATTAATGAGGATGTGGTTATTAAAGAGATTCTACTCATTAATTCATAAAAGAATTTAATTTTTTGTTTATTGATGTATAGTTTGTTTTGGTCTTAATTTCGCCGTGGGGTGAAGCGAATTTCTTTTCTTACATTCTGTGAATTTCGGGAAAATGACTTAACGAAGGAAAAGGAAAAAGCCATACTACGGCCCTTTCTCGATTGACACCAAATCACAAATCAGAGAATATTGCAGGACCTTTTAAACTTTTCTTGCAGGAAGATTAGAACCGCTGATATGTAGTAACGACCCAAGTTCAGTGTTTTATATGTAGAAGCGAAACCTCCTTCTCGCTGACGCACTAATGAAATGGCGACTGCTAACCAAGTGCTCAGTTCAACGAATGAAAACGAAAATTATCAGCGTCTTTCTCGACTGATTATACGTGCGGGTACCGAGTTATTTAGAGCACTGTTTGACTCCATTTACCCACCAAGAAGTCTTGCTCTTGCCAACAAACTGAGTGATTCTACTACCAGGAAAAAGTTGCGGGACATTCTTCTCAACCCTCAACGTGATCTTGTTTATCCGGCATCAGGATTGTTCGGAGAATCAAGAGACTTTGACATCAGCCTCCTTTCTCAACTACTAAAAACTCTTTGTCCGACGCAACTACCTCCTCTGGGCAGCGGATGGAATAATCCCCCAAGTAGAGGTGATTTTAGCTTGACTGCAGACATCGTCAGAATTAAGTTTTACCGCAATGATATTATTCATAAGTTTCACCGTGGAGAGTTGAGTGATGCAGAATTTTGTTCCCTCTGGGATGAAATCAAAATAGTCCTTTTACGTATAGCTTCCCATATCAGCGCAGAAACAAAAATTGAATGGGAAGAAGCAATCGACAGGCTGCGGCATGATCCCTTAACCCCAGAGGCTGCAAGGAATGTCGAGGAACTACAGGAAATGTATCAGAAGGACACAGACACAAAAGAAAGTCTTGCATCAGGGTTCGCTCGACTGGAGAGGCAAATTCAAATTTCCTCTGAAGAAGGAAAGGAACGATCTGATAAAATGGCGAATGAAATTAAACAGCTTCGTGAAGTGATGAAAAATCGGGCTGGCTCCTCAGCGGCAGAAGGAGGAGGTCAGTTTATGGAAGAGATTGTTTTACTTTAAGAAATTCAGTGAATATTGAATTATATAGCCTACTTCGCCATTATAAGAGTAAGTTTCTGAAAAAAACTGTGCTGCTGTGTCGGTTGGAGAGTATAACAGGGTAATTTAGTATTAACAACTGCATGAGCTGATAACGTGAATTTGCCACCGTAAAGAGTTTCAAAGCTGACGTTTGGAGCGTTAGCCCTTCGTCAGAGAATGACGAAGTTGAAGTGATTACCATGATATTCTGACCAAAGTAATTCTTCTTATCACAGCTCCTCTTCGTATTATCATCGATGTCAGATCCATGACAAGCCGCAGCTCTCAAGAGGAAGCTCCAACGACGACGATATCCTCTCATGCGCAGCCAACTGCCTCAGCCGACGAACCTCCGGCAACTTTGACAATCACAGCTGATCGGTCCGTACAAAGAATAGCCTTGGAAATACGTCGACATTACGATTCATCAACACCTGAGGAAAACGGATTTGTTCAACATCTGGAGGATGTTAACCAAGTCCTTATTGTGAATGTCAATCTCGGTAGCTTGGTGCTAACTGTCAAATGCAGCTCACTGGAAATTCTAGAACGACTCTGGCAAGATTACTCCAGTGGTCATCTCGGTAAAGCAGCTCAAGAATTCCTCGTGAACGAGAGAGTGCTGGAAGATCTTGGACTCGCTGAACTTAAACTCAGGATCGCTATTTCGGAGGAGGATTACCAGGAGGGTCGGAGGCACTTTGCTAAGTGTGCAGGTATAAAACTAATAGCCGCTTGTTTTTTTTATTTTTTTGAAGATGATGTTCATTCTCTTTTACCACAGATTGCCAAGCGGTGAGGGAAGGGGATACTAGATTAGACTTCCACAGATAATTTTTTGGCGAGTTATTTAGTCACGCAATTATTGTTTGGTATAAACCTGAGTGAGATCAGGAGTGAAAATTCGGAGGCTACAGGACTTTGCTGTTTAGTGGGTGATGGGAATAAAGTTTATCAGGCCTTCGGTTTGTGGATCCCCATGGACGGAATTCTTACCTGATTCCATTTATTTCAGTCTTGTATTGTCTTTTCCAGGTTCTGATTACTCTGAGGAAACAGAAGGAGGACAAAATGGAGATGGCAAGGAAGAGGAATACATACCTTCTCAGCATTTCACAGGTATTAAACAGTGTCTTTCATGAATCCATGAATAGCAGTAAAACCTGGGTCACATTGCATTGAAGGAATGCGTGCTCAACAACGAAAAAGAATAACTCACGAAATTAGACGATGCTGGTGGGTAAGGGGGAAAGTCACCTTAAAATATCTTTAGGCGGAGAACATGCTGCAAACGCAAGGATTACACATAAAATTATTTAACTTGTAGCTATGGGTTCTGTTTTTGATGTTATTAAGGAGGAATAACGAGAATTTGTTTTGAAAGAATAGGAAGACAGCGTGAGTAGCTGTTGCTTTAATAAATGATATAACGTTTCAGCTGGTTTCTGGTTTCAGGTGAAACACCAAAACCAGTTAAGGAAACTGTGGCAGGTATTTTCTCCTTCTGATGCTGTTTCTTCTATCCACCATTTTCTGTTTATGGAAATTGTGGCATGTATCTGTGAGGTTTAACTTATCTCCCACCGTACTATTTTAGGTTTACTTGCAGGAATCTCTAGAACATTGTCTCTCCTCCCCCCAATGGTACCGCACTTCGTCAATCGCAAAACAGAATGCGACGAAATCAGAAAATACCTTTCTCCACTGCACAGTTGCAGATGCCTTCACATACATGGTGCCACTGGCATAGGGAAGACAACCGTGGCGACGAAAGTGGCAAACGACATATTGAATTCTGACGGACGTACCGTGGTGATCTACGTTAACTGTAGAAACATAAAACTTTCCCATGATTTTGCTGAGAAGGCTCTTCAGCAAGTATATCACGTACCTGTGGAGTATCCAATACCTGAGCTGAAAAATCGCTTGAAAAGCCAAGATTTCTTCACCATTTTGCTATTGGATAATTTTGAATTTATACTTCATTTGGATGACAGAATGCAGCTCCCCGAAAGTGAATTGTCACTCCAGGAGATGAACCCATCTGAGGAAGGATCGAAGATTAAGAATCTAATCAATGAAATTTTAATGGTTGCAGACAAAGTCAAGCTTCTCGTCACCTCCTCAGAGAAAGTTAGTTTTCCGGAATCAGGCCAAGAAATGGTTCATCTGTCACCTTTTAAGCCAGAAGAATCCGTTGAGCTTTTGAGAAGAGTGTGGAAGGATAGGCAAGTCGATACAACCCAAGCACATGACTTGTCAGAGATTTGCAGTGGTATTCCCCTGGTCCTTTACACCCTGGCCTCCTCCCACAATAACCTGCTAAGTCTCTTGAAAGAGACGACCTGTTCTTCGCCTCAAGAGAAATTCGAGTTCTTGACAAAGATTCAAACGGTATCAGAGAATATGAAGATCAACGTTTGTATCGATTATTGCTTCGAGAGGCTTGTTTCGATAGAAAAGTGTGCCCTTATCAGATTTGCATTACTCAGAGGGCGTTTTTCTTTGTCTGAAGCGATGAAAATATTTCAATCAACGGAGATGAGTGCGTCTCAACTCAGACGATGTGGACTGGAACTGTCCAAGCGATCACTTTTAGAAGAACACATTATTGGAGATGAATGTTCCTATACCCTCCTTCGAGTAATTCGTGATTATTGTGAAACTAAAGCAATGGAGCCGGAGTTTTGTGAAGTGATCTTAGATGCTCGGAGGGCGTTTATCCTTCATTTTTTAACCTTTCTGAAAGACATCTTTAAAATGTTCCTGAGCCAGAACGCGTCAGAAGCTATTGCAGCCTTTCAGAAAGATGAGGCAAATGTCATGCAGCTCGTTGAATGGTGCAGAAATGGTCAAATGGATGAAGAGCAAACAGGAAAGTGCATTGATGTTTTCAACAGCGTGACGGAGCTACTGGCGAAGATGATGGGAAAGGCCAAATTTGAATATGCCTTCAACTCTCTAAGAAAGAGATGCAAAGAGATGAAAGATCAGACGAGACTGAGCGATTGCCTCACATCCTTGGGGCTGAAAGAAGTATTCAGCTGTTCTTGTCCTCCAATTGGTCCGTGTGCTTTACACGCTGAAATAGCCAAAGAATACTTCACGAAGGCTGACGGAATCCAACGTAATCTTGGAGTTAAAAAAGGGAACAGCCGAGCTCAGTGCCTTGCCAAACTTGGTCGATGTCTCGCCACAGAAGGCTTTTTTGAGGAGGCAAAAGAAAAAGTTCAACAGGCAATCAGAATTCGATCGGAAGGACAGGATGACAACGTTATGCTCGGTGCAACGTATAATGATCTGGGAGGTAGGTGCACAAAATGATTAGGTACCAAATTAATTTGCGAGCGCATTGATCATATATTTTCCAAGGCAGTTTGTGGGATCGTATTTTAAGGTTATTTTGAGCATTTGCTTACGTATGAATCTTCAAAATCGATGAATAAAGAGTCACAATTGAAAACGCAGTACAGATTGTGGCCTGTGCTCTGAGTGAAAAAAGCATGGGAAGCATCCTAATCCTCCATTATGATTTTAGCCTCTCATTAGTCAAGATTCAGCTTAATAGCCGCCATTCATTTAGTCTGACCCTTGACAGGATCCTTAGAACACCGAGAAGGTGCAAAACTCTGAAATATATTGAAAAGTGTCCTTATAATGTTTGTAATCAACCACTAGATGCTATCTAGTGGTTGATTATAAACATTATAAGGAACGAAATCCTTCACATGAATTCTAATGCATAATACTTTAAAGGGGTCACGGCTACTTCAAAAATCCTTTCTTTAAGACAACAAAAATCACTTTTACTACCTTTCTTAATTATCTTCATGGTCAACCGAAAATGACTAAATTGGAATTATTGTATCTTTGGAATTATTTACAAATTCAATGATGAAACTCTAATTCCCTCGGTAGTGATCCTTTCGCTCAAGGGAAATCATGAGCAGGCAATCAAGGTCAGAGAAAGAAAGACGCTACCCATTTACAGAAAAACACTGGGTAAACATCCTTTCACTGCGACCATCCTCAACAGTCTGTCAAACAATTATTTTGCCCTGGGAAAGTACAACACTGCCGAACGATATTCGGAAGAAGCGTTGAAGATTCGGCTCGAGTTACTGAAGGACCATCGAGACACAGCTAAGTCGCTTTTTGACCTTGCGATGGTTCATAAAATGAAGGAAGAATTCGAACCAGCCAAGCGTTGTCTTGAAAGATGCGAGGCCATGCAAAAGAAAATATTGGATGAAAAAAACAACGATCTTACAAGGTAAATAACTGTCTATCACTATAAATTTTGCGTTTCATTAGGGATCCTTTAGGCATGCAGGTGTTGATGAATTCAACATTAACACCTTCATCCACCTCCTTAATTCTTCAACTACTAAGATCTCATTATTAATTCTCCTCTCTGGCGGCTTCATATTTCCTTGTGGATTAGTTACAAGAATTTGGTATTAGATCAAAATGACTTCTACCTGATAAGTTTGAGCATTCTCATTACTTGTTTGCTGGACAATGTGCGGATATTATAGGGAGAAGTTACATGTTAATCACTTCTGGGAGTTAAAGGGTTAAGTATTAAATTTTCCGAGTTTTTGGTTGATGTGCCTTTCCTCCCACAGGACCAGGAAAGAATTGGAAGAAGCAAAGGGGCATCTATTGGGAGTCATGCAAGGGAACTCCTTAAATCCGGCAACAAACTCTGACAGAGAATCTCTTGATGTGAACCGTGTAATCTTGTCCAGTTCTGAGTGTCTTTAAGTGTAACAAGGCAGTACTACTTCGAGGTTCCGCAAGAATGATGATACAGTCACTTCTGCGTGACGTCTCCTCTTAAGCAATCGTCTTAGTTTAAAATGTAGGTAGTTATGGAACATTCTTTCTCCGTCACTGACATCTCCATTTTTGTCGAATTTGAGTCTGTTATGATCATGCATCAGTCACATAAAACATTCAGTCATTAACTGAATCAGACTTGAATCAGAGCTGAAAATTTAAATGATGGTTGCTATCATTATTATAGTGAACGTCCTAGGTCAAGTTTCACTTCACTGGACCGTTTTAGTTTCTTCGTAATGGTGTAAATAGGTGTGGTTTAAAGAAAGTGCCGTTGTTCTGGACAAGTGAGTCTGGCTATTTCCAGAGATCCTAGCCGGGAAGATTCTTTCTAGGCGTAGTCCTTTCAGTTTAGTGCTAACGATTGTATATATGTATAGATATTTAGAAACTTTTCGGCTTGTTCTTTACTGATTCAATTCAATTTAGAATAGGTGGTATTTCACTAAAAATGAAACAGGAATCGCAATTGATGGGGGGTAGCCTATCTTAGACATTAAAGGAATTTTAGATATCTTGCTCATGTAACGTGTAAGTGTTTTACTGACATCAATGAGAATGGTAACTTTTAAGTATTGCTGACTTTTATTATGCCCTATTAGTTTGAGCTAAGAACATTAAAACAGCATTTGTGATGTAGCTGACAGCTTTTAAATTCCCTGTTAACTTTTGAATAGATTAAATAACTGAAATAATCCAACAGGGTCAGTTAAACGCCTCAAAACGACAAGCTTTCTGATAAATAAGTAATTGTTGGTTGACATCATATAATCATGAGGCTCGATTCGATAGTTTCTACAACTGACACGAACGTCCAAAAGGACTCCATCATCCTCGTTCCCAGAAAGGTACAGCAAGACGGAAATTTCGTCTTCAAACGCGAAGCAAGGGCTTTGAAAGAGGACATGGGCGCTGTATGATTTCCTCCGAACTTCGTGTTCGCATTGACTTCCTTCCTTTCTCAGCTAAACCTATCGGCAAATCATGATCCATACCTGTAAAACCCGTCAGACTTGTTTCATACAATTAAACAACAGTGTAAAATAAACTGATCCAGATGCCCAACCACTTCAGTAATAACATCAAAAACAGAACCCAGAGTTACACGTTTTCTGTGTGATTCTTGTCATTACAGCATGTTCGCCGCCTAAAGTTATTTTAAGGTGACTTTCCTCCTTAACCACCAGCATCATCTGATTTCGGGAGTTTTATTTTTCTTCGCTGAGCATGCGTTCCTCTTCCTCTTTTATGGTTCTGTTCGAATAGATCATTAGATATAAGAGTTTGCGATAATTAGCCAAGAGTAACTAACACTTACTGTATAGCATGTCGGTCTATTGGTTCCTCACCGTCACAGTCATCCTCATCATCCTCATTGTCATTATATTCATCGTCATCGTCATTGTCGTCATCGATGTCGATGACGTTATCTTCGATGACGATACCTTCGTTATCGATATGATTGTCATTGTCATTATCATAACCTCGGGCCTCTCGATTCGGAATCCAGGCGTTAACCACATTTGACCATGATGCCTCTTACAGCTGGAATTTGCAAGAATGAAAGCTAGAGGCAGTGTTGAGGAAATTTGCAACATTTCACGAGACCAAAGACATAATAATTTTGTTTACAGAAGGTAAGATCTTTACCGTTTTATGTTCGCTCACACTGGACGTGAACAACGCAAAAAGGTTTTAGGGTTAGGTTTTTAGCTGTAAGGTCTTAAAATCGGAAGCAAGTAAATTCAATTTCCTTTGTTTTTAGCAGACTTGTTTCAGACACTGAAAAATGTTTCCCAAGCTAGATAAGGACGCGGCCTGTCGTGGTACCAATAGAAATGAGAAAGAGTATGTCTCCTGACAAGCCCTGAAGCATCGTACAGGGTTACCGTGTAAACTAACCTTTCAAGCTCGCTGATCATGGTAGGGTCATCCAGAACCCCTTGCATGCTTTTTTGAGAACCATCCCGAGATCAAACAGTACGACATCCTCGAGACGTTGAACAAATGTGTTTTCCTCAGCTGTTGATAGATCGTAATGTCGACGTATTTCCAAGCCTATTCTTTGTATGGGCTGATTAGCTGTGATTGTCAAAGTCGCCGGAGGTTCGTCGGCTGAAGCAGTTGGCTGCGGAAGAAAGGATTTCGTCGTCGTTGGAGCTTCCTCTCGAGAGCTGCGGCATGTCATGGATCTGACATCGATGATAATACGAAGGGGAGCTGTGATAAGAAGAATTACTTTTGTCAGAATATCATGGTAATCACTTCAACTTCGTCATTCTCTCTGACGAAGGGCTAACGCTCCAAACGTCAGCTTTGAAACTCTTTACGGTGGCCAATTTACGTTATCAACTCAGTTGATAATACCAAATTACCTAATCTCTATCCAAGCAAATGAACTCTATTTCACTTGAAATTACCCTGTTACACTCTCCCACCGACGCAGCACCACAGTTTCATAGAAACTTTCTCTTATAATGGCAAAGTAGGCTATATAATTCAATATTCACTGAATTTAAAGTAAGCCAGTCTCTTCCTTAAACCGACCCCCTCCTTCTGCCGATGAAGAGCCAGCCTGTTTGTCACCAATTCGCGAAGCTGTTCATTTTGATTCCCCAGGTCTTGAATTTGCCCCTCCACTCGAGCGAACCCTGATGCAAGACTTTCTTTTGTGATCATGTCTTTCTGATACATTTCCTGTAGTTCCTCGGCATTTCTTGCAGCCTCTGGGTTTAAGGGATCATGCCGCAGCCTGTTGATTACTTCTTCCCATTCAAGTTTTGTTTCTTCGCTGATATGGGAAGCTATACGTAAAAGGACTTTTTTGATTTCATCCCAGAGTGAACAAAATTCTGCATCACTCGACTCTCCGCTGTGAAACCTATGAATATTATCATTGCAGTAAAACTTAATTCTGACGATGTCTGCAGTCGAGCTAAAATCACCTGTGCTTGGGGGACAATCCCATCCGCTGCACAGAGGAGGTAGTTGCGTCGGACAAAGAGTTTTTAATAGTAGAGAAAGGAGGCTGATGTCAAAGTCTCTTCATTCTTTAAGCAATCCTGGTTCTGTATAAACAAGATCACGTTGAGGCTTGAGAAGAACGTAGCGCAACTTTTGCCTGGTGGCAGACTCACTGAGTTTGTTGCCAATATTTTTCTCTTGGAAGTGAAAGTGTTAATGAGATGAAATAATTATCTTATTGATTTCGTATTCAGGATAGTGGCTCCCTGGATCAAATATTGAAAAAGGCTGATCTAGTACCTGAGGATATTTTGTGAGTTATCACAATTGCGGTAAGAACTAGTTTATATTTTACATATATTATGTATAGCAGATAGTAGGACAATTACCCACGTGTAGTTCAGGATTAATGTACACAGTATTACCTCAAGGATAAGAAAAAGCTTGAATTTTGAGGAGGGGGAATTTTACGTCCAAAACTATGCTGCAGCCATCAAGGCTGAAAAAAGAAAAGAAAGATGTAAAATCCAGCTTTATTTATGGGATTGGATTCAAATTTAGGTTGTCTTGCACTGTGCAGAGAGAGCAAGGAAAACCACATGCTCAAAAGGTAATCCTCCTTTCTGTGGAATAGTTAGACATGTTGCTCTCCATGTATTGTACTTGTCTGGCTATAAATTTCTGTTCAAACAAGACTTTGCATATGCAGGGCTCTAAGATCAATTTTTGGGTTGTGAAATATGTTTCTTACCCAGGTGTCAGTTGTATGAAAATTGTTCTCTTACAGATTTTAAAGGTTTAAGCTACCTTAGAGATAACCACAATATTATACACAGAGGTAGGTGTTGTAACCATGGTAAATTGTTATTAGTACAAAATTGCTTGTTCCATCCAGAAGACAACATCCTCTTATTAATGAGTGCTGCAGTGTACATCTATTTAATAATATTATTAATGCATTGTACATCTATTTAAAAATAATATATAGATTTAGCCAATGATATAATTATATAAGATAAGTGAATGATTAACATTTGATTGTTTTTGTTACCGGTACTACTTAATTAAGAGTGTAATGGATTTATTACCATACTGCAAGTTTTTTTCAGTGATGAGGTTGAATGATTATGCTTTACTACTTTTGAGCAGGATTGTTTGATGCTTCTGCTACATTCAGTCAAACCTGTATTAAGCAGCACCATATTAAGCAATCACCCTGTATTAAGCTGTTGGTAGTTTAAGTCCCAAAATCTTTTCCCATGAATTGCTGTAATTTTCACCTCAAGCCTGAAATACAGACAGGCCCAACAGCCTATTTGAACAGTCACTTAAAGCAGAGCCACACAAATAAAACTCAGAGTAACCTTTCAAGTCATTTCATTCATTCTGTGTTTATCTTCCAAAATCAATGTTAGCACCTTAAGTTAAAATGTCCAAAGGGTAAAAATTAAAAATTCTTCTCTGGATTGTT